AGATGTATGGATATATATATATATATATATATATATATATAGATATATATATATATATATAAATATCTCACTTGAGTTCATCATCATCCTCATGTTCTTTTCTGCCACTCCCGTGTGCATTATACAGTACTCCATATTCATATATATATTAATATATATATGTTTATATATGTTTATATATGTTTATATATGTTTATATATGTTTATATATGTTTATATATGTTTATATATGTTTATATATGTTTATATATGTTTATATATGTTTATATATATATATATATATATATATTTCATGAACAAGATTCTAGAATCCTTTTCCTTATGTTCCCGATCACTGTGTCTCCCACCAAAGGTTTCTCGTTGACGGGTTTCTTCAAAAACAGGAACGTTACCGATCGTCAGGTCTGCAACTGCGTCAAAGGTTCGATAAATGGAAATTCCGAAAGATCAGGTCTCTGAGAGAATGTACTCCAATCAGCAGGTTCCACGTTGATAGGAACCCAACGAGAAACTTCCTGACCTACATTTTCTAGATCAGTAAAAGAAAAAGTCTCCGAACGGACCTGTTCCTAATTAATTCCTACGTCGAGTTATGTTCAGGGGAGACGGCTGGCAGCGCTGGTTTCAAACATCGGTGCCATTTATCATTGTGACAGCGCCATCTGTACCATATCACAGGCAGGTTCCAAAATAAAAGTGTTCCGTATCAGTTCTTTCGTTTAAAAAAACAAAACAAAAAACAAAACAAAACATTCTTGGTAAATAAGGCGGAAGGCTACAAGCGCGGCTAGGTGAGCATGTGTTTATACTTGGTTAGAGATTTAGGTTCGGGATGACGGATGGAGTGTATGTGTGTGTGTGTCGGATACCCGAAAACACGCCCCCTTCCTGTTTCCACAGGTGTGTCCATATGATGTATGTGTGGTTCGGTGTGTGTGTACTGGTGTGATAGGCTCAGCAGTAGCAGTGAAGTTTTCTCTCCGTCGCCGTCATTTCCTTCAGACCACGGTGCTGACGGACGGATCCGATAGGTTGAGCTGGCCGGTGATGTCGGTCGGGTACGGCTACGGGCGGAGGCGCACACAAGAGAGAAGAGAGGGGAAAAACGTACAGAACACAGAGACATTAATACATAAAAAAAACTTGTTCCACCCATTCAGCACATGTTCTCTGGTTCTCGAACCACGATGGTCCCGGCAAAAAAAAACCATTATAGAGAAACGACTTGACCGCTGATTAGGGATGTAACGATGCATCGGAACTCGGTTAGAAATTGATAGAAATTAAAAATCGCGCGTAGACGTAAGGAGTGGAATCTCCAAAACTGGTCAAACCAAGACACTACACCCTCCAGTACAGTAGGTGGCAGTATGTGCCTAAAAACATCGGCCCAAACCTGACCTACTGTTAAACCAAAACGTCAGGTCCCTACGTAGCCCTAAGTGATGTTCAGGTGTTGAAACAGAACGTAATCATTAGATTAAAAGTCAAACTGGGGATTAAAAAAAAAATCGCGATAAAATCATGTGAGTTCATGTATCGTTACATCCCGACTGTGGATATGGAGTAAAGTGTCTAAGGTGGATTAGGGTTCCCTATAGAGATAGCTCAGATGCTAATCAGTACTGTTGGTGTATATTTAATTAATATATATATATGTGTAGTTCGCAGAATTCTGCTAATTAATGTGGCCAACTTTTGTGTGTAGTACACATCTTCTACTTTTGCCAATTTGACCAATCGTGGATTAAGACGCCACGAGAAACACGAAGCACGAATCCCAACTAATGTACGCGGTACACGTGACCGCTGCCGCAAATCCCTCGTTGACTATATTTACATTCGGAAGTATTTATTTTTTTATAACTTCAAAAAAAAAATTTTTCAAGGGGGCGACATCTCTGTATAAAAGACTGTTTTTTTAATCCCCGCCTGCATTAAACATTCTCTGTCATGTAATCTGACCTGGGATCAGCGCAGCCACGGGGAACATTAAACTTTTATGTGTCGGCTTTTAACGGCAGAGCACGGGAGTAAATCCCAGGCGTTGCTGCCCTTCAGGTCTTCTTCAGATTAACCTCCATTATTGGTTGGTTAGAATCACCACAATGACTGAAGCTGTATGTTTACAATCACCGCCATGTCACTGTATCTTTATTGGAATTTGGGCCAGAAGTCATTGTTTTTACGTCTCTTGAAGGACCCCTGGTGGTCAAAAATGAAATTTATTTATTTAATTTATTTAATAAAATTTAAACAAATATAAAGTGCATTTAAGTAAAACCTACCAAACGCCTAAAATTTGGAGAGATTTTCAATTTTCAAAATAAAATTATTTTTTTTTAGATTTTCTTAATATTGCAGCGTCAATCACATTATTTTCACTTTAAATGACTAAAGCAAATAGATATATTAAATAGTAAATTATTATAAATAAAGCATTTTTTTCATTGTGTCCCACTGTGGGCCGCTAACAAAATATTAATGGACCCGTACCGGTCCACGCACCGGGGGTTGGGGATACCTGTTTTATGTAATCAAAAAAAAAAAGCCGGTGTACTGTACTCTACAGACATTAGCGTGCAATCGTGTTAACGGTGTTACATGTTTCGCTGAGGGCGTGGTCATGTACAGTACACGAGGCCCAGGATTGGTCAGCTGAAGTGTTTTTTGTTTATCCTACAGGTCGGTCGTGCTTGCAGAGGAGGACAGAGGCAGTGTGTGTGTACAAACAGCATGTAGAGTCTGGACACCATTCATATCCAGAGAGAGAAGAAGAAACACTCATATAAAAATAAAGGGTGATGATCACAAAGAAGAATGAGTCATAGTCCACCCTTCAACCATCCCCTGATGTCATCGCATCAATCCATCAATCCATCAATCCAGCCTGTTCTTTTTTTTAAACATTATGATACTGTGTTCTTTTTATACCCTTATTGTGACTCCCGTCAAGTTCAACTTCGGTGACGTCGTAGGAAAAACAGAACATTTCACATGCCTGAGAAATATTGGGAGTCGACAGCAGAAACGATTTCACGGGATGAATTCCTCGATGACGCGTCTGATTGTGTCATCGATAAAGACAATACCAATACCCCCCCGCCTCCTTCCCCTGTGTTACAACAGAAGACGTCCGCTCCGCTGTGACCCTGAAAAAGACGTGAGGAAAGCGGCGGCTTCCACAGACGACTCACAAGCATCGGTACAGATGACAGGATGAGGAAATATTAATCAGTAATGATTTGATTCCCACGACAATGGTCTAGTTTCCCAAAGACGAAGCAGGAGCCGGTCAAACGTTTCACCTGTATGAGAAGCTGTAGGAGACAAAATCAGTTAGACACCTCAAAACAAATATCCTCCGGAGACAGGGGGGGGGGTGCTAGAGACAAGGTCAGATGGTTATGGTGTAAATTTAAATCTCGGAAAAAATTTGTGCGGATATTTACTGCCGTTGTCAGATGAAGGGACAGAGACAGGAAAGGACAAGGCGGAAAGTGCAAGACCGGGAGCGTGGACGACAGCAGACGGGACGAGGACGGACAGACAGACAGACAGACCAGAGGACAGAGAGGAGGGATGAGAGGACAAAGGTCCACAGGAGTGAAAGAGACCACACAGTCTGACCCTCTTCACTTCTCCTTTGCAAGAGGACGATGTGAACCGTGTGAAAAACAACGCAGCCCTAAACCACAAGACAAGTCCTGACCTGACTGGACGTCTCGGACTCCAGGACTCTCCTCTGTTTTTTTTTTTGTCTTTACTGGGACACAAGAGCTCGATGGAGAAGGAATGAGTCAGCGAGATGATGAAAAAAAAGAAGAGCGAGAGAGGAGGACAAGAGAGAGAGATAAAAAAAGGAGACGAAAGAAGAAAAAAAAAACATTGACAGAAAAGAATTGATGAAGTTAAAGGAAGAGGAAAGAAAACTGAGGAAAGATGAGTCACACCAGAGGTGGTGGAGGAAGACAAGAGGCAGTCGGTTGGTCTTCATCTTCTTACCGTGGCGTCCCCGGAGGCCCTACGGCGTTTGAGGTCGGAGGTCGAAGTGATGGACCTAAAAGAGGGTTTCAGTTTGGGCTCGGGCTCTGCTCTACCACTTTTTCTATCCTAAAATAAATCATACGATAGGTGCACACACACGTTAACACGCAGCAGAGACACGGTCGCACAATCCTACTACTACTACTACTACTACTTAATTACTACAGTAATTATCACTTTTATACTTATTATTAACAGATGTAATTAACTGGTTATATTCCTGGCTAAACATTCATGATACAATGTCTTGATATATACTTTAAAGTATTTCTGCCCAGTGATAGTAGCTAATTCTTGCTAACACTTGTAATAATGTGCGCTAAAACCCACTATATCTCATGCTTACTTGGCAATTTGCTAACAAACTTGTGGACTTTGAAACTTAAAAACTCACTTATAATACTTGATAGCTAACCCTAGCTAATTACTGTATTGCCGATCAGTGTGCTAACTCATACTGTAGTGGCTAAACTGGCTTGTAATAACAGATTTCTAGCTTATCAGCTACTACAATGTACTAGTACTAGCTAATTCACGCTAACATCACATTTGGTCTTTGATTATTCTTGCGGCTCACCTATTATCGCTAACTGTCAATGATCACTGTGCGCTATACTGACTAAAAAATGGCTGCTCAGTGATACTTAGTAATTCTTGTTGGTAAATACAACGGTGAAACACGAAAAACTTTTGTTGTTAGTCACTATGCTAACTGACTTTTACACAAGCTAACTAAAAATCACTGCTCCTTTACTGACCCCTGGTGTTGATTTCTATGTTCACATACTGTATAGTTGCTAATGATGAGTTCAGTTACTAATAAGTACTTCAGATTAACATCTAATTATCACAGTACTACTACATCAGTACTCCATAATACACACAGCTCTGTTGTGTGTTGCCTGTGAAAGTGCGTATATTTTCTACAGTATGAAGTGTATGGCGTTAAAGTGGCAATACAGGCTATAGCATTGAAATGAGTTCACAACCGTGAGGTTAACGTTTAGTGTGAAAACAGCGTGAATCTTGACCAATCAAAACACTCAAAACATGTGTAAATATATTCCATTGATTAAAACGTCTTCCCGATAGCACAACATCCCATAATCCTTTCTAGAAATGGTGTGCAATATATATATATATTTGTTCCTGACATGTGATGAAAGCGTTCCTTCGGAGCTGACTTCCTGTTTTAGATGAAGAGATGTTTCAGTAAAACACAGCTTCACTCTGTTTTACTGTCCACAGCCACGGACGGACACGTACACACGCACGTACTGTAGCAGAGGAACCAAGAACACCAGGGCTGGAACATAGAAACACCAAAGTGACCAAACACAGCCAATCCTGGGTGAGAACACAGGGGGGGAGAAGAGGAAGGAGGGAGGGAGGAGTAACAAAGAGGACGGATGGATGAGGCGGCAATGGAGTCGGATCAACCCTGAACACATCAGATCATTATACCAACACTGTGCTGCTATAACGTCAACTGTCGGGTGTGTGTGTGTGTTAAACAGAAAAGACATGGGTGAGGGAGCGGGGGGCGGGGAGGGGGCTTCAGCAGCACAAAGATGGTCATGTGATCAATGGTGTGTTACCCTTGACATCATATAAAAACCGTATGTCGACCTTCAAGTCATTATGCATTTCCACCATCAGGAACGGTCAAAGCAGTGACAAAATGGTGGCCTAACTTCTAGTTTTCCTTTGGTAACGTCCACACCGCACCATAATTGTCTGGGTGGATTTCATGACACAGCGTTGACATATAAATGTCAACATATGTGCGTGTAAGTGGTGACACATATATGTCACTTCTGCAGGAAACTGAGGTTCCACTCAGGGTTTGTTGTTGTTTTGGACCATGGTGGAAATGCAAGCTAGCATTGCTAGCATTTTTTTTTAAACATACAGATTATTCTTCAGCGGAAACAAACTTTTAAATATTCATTAGCATATTTCTAACCCTAATAGAATATTTCATACAATATATTAAAATAATTGTTCATCTGACTAACAACTGTTAAGTTGCTCAATTTAAGCATTGGGACTTTAGCACATTAGCTACCTAATCTGAAACATACAGTACAGTACAGTTTTCTTTTTAAAACCACAGGTTTCGTCATGACAATATTTTCTAACACGTCACTACAGTGAGTGGGAGTCAGCGCGAGTGTTTCCCATTCACCGCCGACGATGTGGCGGACCGCCAGTCTCATTGAACCAGCGACGCCGCAACAGAGTGCAGTACCATGTTTTCAACACCCATTCACCACGTAACAGCTAGAGGGGCGCTGTTTCACATGTCATAAAACGCTCTCTCAAAGAGTGTGAGGGAGAGACAAAATTGTTTTAATTAAACGACATGCGACTT